ATAATGCTTCGCAGAGTTTGGTTTGATAACTATAAATTAAAATATTTCCAATAATCAAAATATATCCTTACCTTCACAACAGCATTGAGAAAAGCTGCATCTCGAATATTACCTGTTTCTACCTGGGGAGAAGTCATGGAAACTTAGACAACATACAACAGAAGACTTAGACAGGTGGAACTCAAACATAATCGAAATAACCAGCACAAAATAAGCATAAGATCATCAAACTAATATAGGAATCAATTAAGTAGATATAAAAATCCAAACCCTGAAAATCTGGATCTAGGTGAACAAATTGGAGTATACGAGATATAATGTCCAAAAGGCCAAATATCCCCTAGAAAGATCAATAAAAGAAACAAAAATCCAATTTGTTTCGGGTAAAGATAACCAAGTTGTGAATTTGTTATATTATCAGTCTTTTTAACTTAACAAAAAATTCAGAAACCAATTACTCCAGGAATAATGATAAACAAAAGCCATGTAAGCTTTTCCGATACTTACAACTGAACAGGGGCTATCCAAGAAAAGAAAAAAATTGAATTCCCTTCATACCTGCTGCTGCTCTTTTGAGTCCAACAGGAACCCCTTGGAGCCTTTTCTTTGACCACCAAACGATTTAAATGCAGTTGATTGCGATCGCCCAGTTTTACTTCTTCCACTATGACCATCGGCATTGGAATACGGTCTTTCATCCTTTGATCTTTCAGGAAACTTCTGCGAAACAGCTTCTTTCTGAATCTAACAAAACCAACATAAAAGACCAGATTACATTAGTCAAATTGCAACCCAATTAAAAGGGATTGGAAACAATGTTTTAGGTCATAACAGCATAGGCATTAATACCCAGCACGAAAAACAAAAGGAAAACCAAAAAGAAAGGAAGACATACATAAAAAAGAAAACATGGTCCTCTTCAAACATATGTAATGTGTCAGATGTACCAGACCCAATTAGCGATATCCCATTATACGCTAGAATCCTAACCATAATGAAACTTCCAATACACTAAAAATCTATAAAGAAAACCTCAATACTATAGTTACGACAGTTCCACGGCTATTCAAGAATCAAGCAAGTTAATCAAATTCAAAAAAGATTGAACGGCAAAGTACGAGAGAGAGAGAGAGAGAAACCTCCGTAGTGGATTTACGGGGAGGAGATGGAGAAATCTTGGGAGTTCTTTTCTTTGAATTTTGATTTTGATTTTGATTGGTGGCTGTGGTAATGAAGAAACAAGTGGGTCTTCGAGACGTGGCGAAGAGACGTTGGGAGGTCAAAGAATAACGGGAAGTGCCGTTGGAGGTGAGCACAGAGAACCAGCCGGTTGCGGCTGCGACCGCCATTAAAAGGCAAAGAAGAGCAACTGAGAAACAACAAACAAGGGTTTACTACTTTTATTGTTGCTGGCTGCTCTCTCACTCTCCCCCCCCCCTTATCCTCTGAGAATTCTCTCTAATTTAGAGAAGGTTAATCTCACTTTACACTCGAAAGATATTTTAATTTATAATTTATATCCTTAAATATTAAAATTTTTAATTTATATCTTTAAATATTAAAAATTTTAATTTATATCCTTAAATATTACAAATTTTAATTTATACCCTCAATATTATAAATTAATAATAACGTGAACCTCATCTAAACTATCGTTCAGTTTTATATCATAAATTGAAGCACATGAGTTGCAAGTGTTTCGAATATAAGGATGAAGTGTGTTCATCACTGCATATCTTTGTTCGCAATCAATTTGACATTGTTTTATATATCAAAAATAAAATTTCATTAATCAAATAAAAGTTAAATCTATCATGTGCAACTCACATGAGACACCAACAGCCTATAAAGTTATACATAAACCCATGATTGAAACACACTTGCAACTCACGTGTTTTAATTTATAACGAAAAATTGAACGATAGTCTGGATAAGGTTTACATTACTATCAATTGATAATATTGAGGATATAAATTAAAAATTTTAATATTTGAGAGTGTAAATTGAGAACCAAAGCATGTTTCGGAGTGTAAAGTGACATTAGCCCCTTTTTAACAAAAAAAATTTATGAGTCCATTATTGGTTTAAATCTTCAATATACAAAATTTAAGTCTAACAAACTAATATTAAAAAGATAAATGCATTTGGAAGTGTTTTTTTAATTTTTTCAATCAATTCTAGGCTTAGGGCGGCTCAACAATATGCGAGGATAATAAAATAATAAGTGCCCAATGAGGTTTTTTTATTTTTAAATAATATTATAAAATTTTAATTGAAAATTTATTATTCTTATTTTTGTACATTCAAAATTACCAATTAAAGTTTTTTATCCAAATTATGCTAATATATATATTTTTAATTGATAGTATGACTTTTGATCATAAATATTTTGATAGGATTTATAATTTATTATTTCATTAATATTTTTATTTGTTTTGTATATTCTTCACAAAAATTGTAGTATTATATGATTGACTATTATTATAAATACATTAATTGTTATCATTTTGTTAAATTATTCAACCATCTTCTAATTTTTTATGATCTTTTATTTGTTTATGTTTGTAACTTTCACCTGAATTTTTGTTATGTTTTATTTATTATGGGTAACAACTTTATTAAAAATTAAAAATTAAATTATTTTTTATTTTAAATCTTTTATAGGAATGAATAGTTTGATTATTGTTTTTTGCTTAAATTGTGTTTGAAAGAAGTAGAAAATATATTAGGGTTTTTTTTTGGTACGAAAGAGAATAGATAAAGAGTTTGATCGATGCTTATTATGTGTTTTTTCTTTGATATGAGAAATTCAAAAAATGGTTGTAACCATCATTTTTCTAAGATAAAGAGTACACTTTCTTATTAACCATAATTGTACTTCAAAAATTGTGATTGTGAGAGGTGAATTTGGACTTTTGGACCTAAATTTTTTTTTTTTACTTACTATTTAAAGAAATTTTTGTTGGACTAAATTGTATTTTATTTTTTAAATATTTGGCTTTTGGGGGCCTTGCTCTACTGTTGAGCAGACAGTGCATAGGCTTACTATTTTTATTTTATATCATTAAATATTAATTTTTTAATATTACATCCTCAATATATTAAAAATATTATAACTTGACCCATCTATTAATTTCCGTTATTTATTTTATCAATGTCAATAGGGTGGATTTTGATGAAATAAGCAACGAACGTTAACAAAAGGGTTATTTTGTAACATTTGTAATACATTGAAAATATAATGACCGGTTTGAAGTTGACTTTTTTGAGCTTTTGAGTGTTTCCAAAAAAGTCGATTTTCCTTTGGAAGTCATTGGATAAGTTTTATTTTTCAATTTTTTCTTAGTACTAGTAAAAATTATTTTTACCCAAAAAACTGCCCAATAAATCTTGGTTTAAATAGTCCAAGCTTCTTTAAAAAAAAACTGAGATTTTAAATCAACTTCAAATATGTCCAATGCCTTCAAACACTAATATGAGATTAAAATTATCCATGCATATGAATATCTAACAATTAATTTGTGGGGAGAGAGAACTAAAAAAATATTGATTCCCTGTCTTTAATTTTCTAAACTTAAGTAGGGTGAAATGAGAATTTAGAGTTTTTTTTTTTTTGTTAATTTTAAAGAGTCCGTCACGCACCTCGGACTCCACAGCTTGAGAGGCATGGCAAATCTGGCGTGATTAATCCCAAAAGACTTGAAATATACCGTGGGGGAAAACCTGCATAGATATAACCGATGTTCAATTAAACATTTGTAGGATTCAAAGATAGTTTAAGTGGTAATAAAAAAAAATTATAAATTTAAATATTTTAAATTTGAATCTTAACAATCTCTTAAATGTTAGGTCATAAGGAATTTATTCATCATGAATACCCTAGTTTCGAAGTAGATAACCTATTTTTAACTAAATTGAGAAAAAAAATTAATCAAAATTTACGTAAATTAATTAAATCACTTTGAAAAAAAATTAAACACTTTTAGCATTTATGAGTCGTGTGTGTGGGTCAATGACCCTACAATTAAATGTAATTGATTGGACAGGCCTAATCTATGAGTAAATATTAAGTGCGATATAACAATCATATACTTTTTGAAAAATGTTACATAACTTAAACAAAAATACTATGTTAACCAAAATGAAGAACTAAATAAAGAGTTCAAATGACACGACAGTTGCTAATATGACAAGTTTAACTGTCATATCAACAAAATCTTTTCGTCTTCTCCAAATCAAGGATAGATGGGATAAAAAAATTTCGTCTTCTCCACTACCCTAACACAAAAATAGAGAAAAGAAATGACATGGCAATTAATCTTGTCATATTAGCAACTGCCATGTCATTTTGACTCTTTATTTAGTTCATAATTTTGGTCAGCATAGTATTACTGTTGTAACCTAAATGAAACATAAAAGTTAAAATTCAAATGTATATCATTCATTGGATAAGTATGGGATGAGTGAGCCCCACTGAAAAAATTGATGAGATCACTCATCCAAGAGATGATATGCATTTGAGTTACAACTTTTTGAATTTCATTTGAGTTTTGTAACACTTATCCAAGAGATGACGCATTAATTAAGTTAGTTTCGTTATATTGTATCTCGTGGAATTCGATATGTATGTACAAATATCCAGTTTGATTTTGATTTTATCTAAATTACATTTGTATGAATGAGTATTTGATAAAATTGAGGGTAAAGTGCCCCGTTAGTCCTTGAGGTTTGACACTTGTTGCACTTTTGTTCCCGATACTTTAATTTTGGCAATTTCATCCTCCATGTTACAACATTAACTTACTTTCGTCCTTAACCCTAACTGCCGTCCAAAAAAGTGACGAAAAATGGCACGTGAATGGCATGTGATGGAACAAGAAGGGCAATTTAGTCATTTAACGGCCCTTCTCGCCCATTTAACCTCTTCAGCTGTGTTGCAATAGCTAGCCCTAACTAACAATTGAACTATTCAACCACAAGCCAGGCTGAGGACGACGAAGATGGAGAGCAAAGGAGTAGTTAGCCGAAGGAAGAAGAAAATGGAACACATGTCTTGCTATTGTGGGACAGGGACAAAGATGTTTACTTCGTGGAGATATCAAAATCCCGGTAGGAGATTCCTTCGCTGCAAGAATCATAAGGTAACTTTCAATTGGGTTGTTTTGAATTACTTAATTTTTTCTAAGGTTGGGCAATATTTTTGTTGTCTGTTGTATGCAGCAAAGTGGAGGATGTGGATATTTTGAATGGTATGACCCTTCCATGTGTAACCAATTAAAGAACATCATTCTTGACTTGCTAGTGAGAATCAAAAGAATAAAAGCACAGTTGACAAGAATTCAACATAGAGAAAAGATGTTGGGGATCTTGCTAATTCTGACATGGATAGTGGTGTTGATGAATTGGAAGAACTCAGGCGTGAACAAGAACAAATAGAGTAATCCTACATCTTGTTATGAATTAGGAAATTAAGAATCTCATGTATTATTTGGTTAGTCCAGAAGTGTGTATTATTTATGTAATATGGTGTTTTGTTTAGTCTAGAAGAGTTTGTTTAGATGTGCAGAAGGGTGTGTTGTTTATGTAATTAAGAAAAGGCATTTGTGTCATTTAATTATGAATGAAGTTCTCTTGTTTCTTTTCCAAATACCTACTTATTTGTTTGATGGAATGTACTATGTAAAATAGAAGAATACAATAGGCAAAATAGTTGTACATAAACAAAAGAGTTGTTAATAGACAATGTTCAAGCTACCCAATTCTGTTACATTGTCTACAAAAACAACTATTGGAACAACTACTTCCAGTAGGACCCAAAATGTGGCATCTACATCTATTGGAACAACTACTTCCAGTAGGACCCAAAATGTGGCATCTACATCATTATCTGTATTATACCCCTTTCCCATTGGCCTTCACACCACCATTATCTAGATTCCCTCCATTCTTCCCTTTTTTTGCTATTGATTGAAGTGATGTAAAGGTTGTACAACTCTAACCTTTCCACAAGAATAGTGCTGGATTTGGAGTAGAACGAGGTGTTTTGAACTGTTGTGATGATGTTGGTGGGATAACATTTCTTTTAACTTGTAACTTCTCTCTCCTTTGTGACTGAACACCTTTTCCAACTTCAACACTTGCATTTGCAACATTTTCTTTGGTCACATCTATTGTATTAGTAGTTGTGTTTCCACTCCTATGCCCAACTCTCTATGTTGAAGCTGTGTTTCCACTCCTATTCACAACTCTCTGTGCAGAAGTTGGAGTAGTCCCATAAGTTTGAGCAGTTCCAAAAATTTGAGCAGTAGCATTCCCAGAAGTTTGAGCAATAGCAGTCCCAAAACTTGCCCTACAACTTCTTTTGTTGTGTCTTTTTTCACCACATTTGCCACACTTCAATGAAATCTAAAATTTTTTCAGTTTTGTGGGATTTGGATTGTGATTTGTTGGCTCATCTGGTTCTCTTCTTCTTAGTTTCTTTGGCTTGCTTGGCTGCTTGTAGTGAAATGGAGGTAAAGGAGGAACTTCATTTGACTTAACCCATAGCTTGGACCCATTTATTGGATGAATAATCTTCTCATAAGCCTTTAGGTAAGTGTCTTTCGTATACCAGTCATCCACAAAATCCTCAGGCTCATCTCTTTTGAAGGCAATTACCTGGATTGTATGTGAGCAAGGGATGCCAGTCAAATTCCATCTTCTACAAGCACAAGTATGTTCATTCACATCCACAACAAATTGATCTCCATAACAGTGCTTAATCTCAAATTGTGATCTTCCAGACCAATCACCAATGCAAAAATAAGCTTTTTTCTTATTCTTCTCTAAAATTCCCTAGATTTTAGGGCATATCTTACCCTCCCATGTTTTCATTATATCTCACTTTGCAAACAACCTCCTCATCAGTAAGTGTCTTATCCTCTCCAACATTGATATAATGGGTTTGTCTCTTGCCTCAATTATATAGGCATTGAATCATTCACTCATGTTATTCAGAAGTATGTCACACTTACATAATGTGCTAAAGTGTGACCTAGACCAATTCCTTGGATGTTTATCTTCAAACCAAGCAAATGCCTGTGAATCTTTATTTTTCATTTTCATCATATTTTCATGAAACTGGTTGACATAAGTTGATCTTACAGCAGCCCAAACCATGTCTTTTAGTGCCTTTTCCTTGTGTTTAATCTTGAAATTGTTGTGTAGATGTCTAACACAGTGCCTATGTTCAACATCAGGAAACAATTCATGAATGACATGTTCCAGTCTCTATACAAACACAAAAATCAGTTAGTTATGCTATAACAATTGTAAAACAAACATGTTTGACAAAATAATTATTTACCAGCATACCTTCTGTTTGTCAGACATTATAGTTCAATCATGTGTATTGGTTATTCTCAAATCTTCTACCAGAATAGTTAGAAACCATGTCCATGTGGTTGTGCCCTCCATCTCAGCCACACCATAGACAACTAGGTACATGCTATTATTACCATCTATACTAATTGCTGAGAATAGTTGTCCATTATGTGTACTTTTCAGATGACAACCATCCAAGCACACCACATGTTTGCATGCTTCCTTAATCCCCTCTTCAATGCATTTAAACATATGTACAATCTTTCAAACCTAAGTTCACATTCCATCTCAGACGCATCATCCATTTTCATTACTATAGTACTACCAGGGTTAGTCCTATTCAATTCATCACAGTAATCCCAGAGTTTAGCATTCTGCTCTACATGACTACCTTCAACAATCAATTTGCGTAGCTTTTTTCTTGCCCTGTAACATTGATCCCTTGAAAAACTCAATTGATGCTCCTTCATTGCCCTTTCTATAATTGCCTCAACAAACCAATTGGGATTCCCTCTAAAATTATCTAGGTAACTTTTGGCCAGCCAATTAGAATTTGCCATTGGGTTCTTATATGACCTGTCACATGTATAATTTCCATTGAATGATTTGACTTAGAATGTTTTGTTGTCATCCATAACAGATGCAAAAATCATCCACTTGCACTTTCTCTTGAAAACTGCTCTAACCCTTACATGATCATTTTTCTTAAAGGTTATTTGTTTTTCCTCCCTAATTGAATATTCCTTTACTGCTTCTTTGAATTCAGCAGGTGATTCAAAAAGCATCCCCAGCTTGAATATTGAATTATTCATATCAGTTTCAGCCCTAAACTCAGGGTACTTTGGCATTCTCTTTTTATTACTATCTTCATCTGATGAGGAACCATCTATTCTGCAACAATTCATCTGATGGTGCATCAACACCATCATTCTCAGCATCACCATGGTCTGCTGATTTCTTCTTTTCCACACCCTTTCCAATGTTAGTCACACTTGCTCATTCAACATCTATGTCAACATAAGTCTCAAACATTTTCTCATTTTTTTCTACATCATATTCACTGTTATGAAAATCAGATTAATCAGAAGTTTTATTATCTGTCTCGGCCCCAACTCTTTCATTATTTATGTCAGTCCCAACTGTTGTATTGTCCCCTCAACCTCAGCTCTTTCATTATCTATGTCACCCCCAATTGTTGCACTGTCTCTTTCAACCCCAACTCTTTCATTCTCTATGTCACCCCCAATTGTTGCACTATCTCTTTCAACCCCCAACTCTTTCATTCTCTATGTCATTCCTAATTGTTGCACTATTTCTTTCAACCTCAACTCTTTCCTTCTCTATGTTACCCCTAACTGCTGCACTGTCTCTTTCAATCCCAGCTCTTTCCTTCTCACCATACTCCAACAAATATGGTTGCTTATTATTTCATGTACTATATAAAATAGTTACTTAACATTTCTCTAAACCATTTAAATCTTTATCATTGATCTCCTCAATAATAACAGAATGCCTAATCCCAATATCTACATCATTTCTTACACCCTCTTCATCAAATACATCAAACAGTGATCTATGTTCAATGTATACATCAACAACTATGTTGGGATATAATCATGGTTTAAAGTTTCGTTTCGGAGATATGTTTCGGTGACTCTAAAAATAGAAACGTTTCGAAAACGCAAGGAAACGATGTATTTTGGTAGAAACGAATGGAAACTTATGAATGAAATTGGTTTTATGTTAATCAAGTTCTTATTTTGGTTTTTTTATCAATCCAATAAAGCAAGAAATAATAGAAAACATATAATTTACAAGAAATTTTTGTGGTTAGGCTAATTGAATATTATTAAACTTGAAGCAAGACGATTCACAATTGCAATATTTAACCAAATGATATTTATTTGTCATTTTAGAGAGGTTAATGTAATGTAATAGCTAATTTTTTGGCTTCATTTGCAGTCTGTTGTGGATGTAGCACTGATTTCTCAGTTAGTGGTGCTCTGCCTTTGACTCGTAGAATACTGCTGCAACAAGATCAATTTGGAATGCCTACTGCAAGACTGAAAAAGATGGTGATTTGTGATTCAAGGGCATGAAGTTGAAGCTGTAGGTAGTTTAGCTAACTGTTGGACAGAAGGCAGTCTGTACCATGTGACATGAAACGGATTCTTCTTTGTTGTGAAGACTGGGTTGGTGATGGAGTGAAATTTCAATATCATTGGTATTCTGCCATTTTTGGCAGATTATATTGCATCAGAATTTGTTTGCTGTGAATATTTTTCTCTTTTCTTAAAAAAAAAAAAAAGATATGTGACATCTGTGTAGATGGACTGAAATTTCAATATCATTGATATTCTGCTATTCTGGCAGATTGTAATTGCATCAAAATCTATCTACTATGAATATTTTTCTCTTTTCTTAAAAAAAAAAATGGAATTGTCATTCACACAAAAATCTGGAGTTTCATTCATAAAATTACAAATAATAATAATGCAAAAGCATAGAAACGTTAATGAGCCCCATTTAAATCTCATGCTTACTAAAGTAGTCATTCATCATCTGGCATTGATAAAAAATTCTAGCAATAACAGTAACACCATAAAATCAAAGCAATTAAAAGATGAATTCTAGAGTTTTAAAAAATAATAAGCATTGTTAAATTCCCCGATTTCACATATCATTATTATGACCCATGGAGCGACGACTACCATAATCTTGGTCTTGGGTGGCATGATCAAAATATTGCTCTTCAGTGAAATATACACTAGTTGGACTTTCTCCAATGTGATGTCGCTGCAAAGAACTAAAAGAATTATTATTTATCGGTTCACTAGTGAAACTACCATCTTTACCACCAACATCCTCATTGTTAATATTCTCATTGCTTCCAATACCACCAACATGGATACTATTAGACATCTATGAGGTAGAAACCAAAAGAATAACTCAAACTATTGAAAAAGGTTAAAGTGTCAGTTGAATCAACACAAATACCTTTATATGCCGTCGCCCTTCAACGAGATACACTACTGCTGAATCTTCTTGTTGTTCAATATGCTCTACTCCTTTCATTTAA